TCCTTTATGCTGTGATTCTACTCTTGATACCTTTGGCTTTAAATGACTTAACGGGGAGAGAACATCGTAGGGGAGGAGTGAAGGTCTACTGACTTCTGGTGGTTTTCCATCAAGCAAGAACTTTAAGCAGATGGTCGATTATAGTCCTCCCAACAGGAGTCACCTTACAGGTCTGTCCTGGCCCCTCTGATCAGCAGTCACACCACATGTTTACTTTGGAATGTATTTTTAGATGGAACTATATATTGAAGATGCCCCAAGCTCCTATTTGCTCTGTGCCTCAGTCTCTCCTCAGAATCAAGTTGATGGATAGGATAAAGGAAAGACAAGAGTCACAATAAAAACACAATAAGGACCAAAAAATTTTCATTTTTAAGCAAATAAATTTGATATCCAAAGGAGTCTTACTTTAATTCCCCCAAATTGATCTGAGGTACTATATTTTTTTTGTCCCAAGCCCAGTACACAAGGAGTCTTACCCCACACACACCTTTACATGACCCTGCATACATTTCTTTGTAAGAATTTCTCCATTCTGTGTAATTGAGTTAGAGAAATGTCTCTTCCAGTCCAAGATATTGGCAAAAATGTTTTGACTTTTCTGCGGTACACAGGCCTCCCACTGCTGTGGCCTCTCCCGTCGCAGAGCACAGCCTCTGGATGCGCAGGCCCAGCGGCCATGGCTCACAGGCCCAGCCGCTCCGCGGCACGTGGGATCTTCCGGACCGGGACACGAACCCGGTCCCATGCATTGGCAGGCGGACTCCCAACCACTGCTTCACCAGGAAACCCAATGTGTTGACTTTTTAAATCCCTTTTCAGGGCCTTAGTTGCCTAATTACAATAGCAGTTTTTTTAATGACTTATTTGTGGAATATCTTTGTGCAGTAAATTTTCTTTATAATTAACGAGACACCTCAGACATTTATGAATTGACTGTACAATTGTCCCAGACCAAACTCTATGTAATTGAAAGGGAGAAATTGACCTACCAACCAGGAAGGAAAAATCACTGAAACCACTAGCGATATATGGGTGTAATGAAATTATGCTTTCTCATGTGTGTTATGAGAGCGCTTGTTTGTTGTGGGTGCATGTGTGCTATTTTTAACTGACTTCTAGAGGAAAATCTTTTTTAATAAATAGGACAAAATCATTTAAGTAACCTGATTAAACAGATGTTTAATATTAAATTTTCTTCTCTAGAAAATCCAAAAAATTCCATTTGAACTTATCTTCATAACATTCAGAAATGTTTTTTTTTTTTTTTTTTTTTTCTTGCGTTATGCGGGCCTCTCACTGTTGTGGCCTCTCCCATTTGCGGAGCACAGGCTCCGGACGCGCAGGCTCAGCGGCCATGGCTCACGGGCCCAGCCGCTCCGCGGCATGTGGGATCCTCCCGAAACGGGGCACGAACCCGCGTCTCCTGCATCGGCAGGCGGACTCTCAAGCACTGCGCCACCAGGGAAGCCCCAGAAATGTTTTTGATGTTTTCATTATCACACATCAAAAGTGTACCTGTAATAAATCAGTTGTTACATAAGATATCAAGGCAATAAAATAATATATTAGTTACAAATACATGTACCTATAATCTAGTCACATTCAGAAATATTTATATATAAGGTAAAGTTGGATAAATATTAACAACAAGGTTTTAAACAAA